ACAGGCAAAAATCCCCAAAACAGACAGGTGGAATTACATCAGATTAAGAAGTTTCTGCACAGCAAAGGACGGTGTAATTAGTGTGAATCAAGAACCCTCGGACTGTGAGAGAATTTTTGTTACCTGTGCCTCAGATAAGGGACAAATAACCAGAATACACAGGGAACTTGTGGCTTACCTGGAAGAAAATGATCAAAACTAATTAAAAGATGGGAAAATTAGTTCAATAAACAGTTCTCTAAGGAAGACATATGAAGAGCCAAAAAGCATATGAAGAAATGCTCAACATCCCTCATCATAAGAGAGATGCAAATCAAAACCACAGTGAGATACCACCTAAACCCAGTCAGAAAGGTGAAGATTACAAAAATAAAAAATGGTAAGTGCTAGAAGGAAGGGATGCGGTGAAAGGGGAACACTCCTACGCTGTTGGTGGGAATGCTAATTGGTCCAGCCACTGTGAAGAACAATGTGGAGGTTCCTCAAAGACCTTCAAATAGAACCATCATATGATCCAGCAATTCCATTTCTGGGAATCTACCCAAAGGACAGAACGCTCAGTCGGAAAAACGCTTGCACATCTATATTCATTGCAGCCTTATTCATGATTGCTAAGACACGGAACCAACCCAAATGTTCACAAACGGATGAATGGATTGAAAAAGTGTGGCACGTATACTCCATAGAATACTGTTCAGCCATAAGAAACTGCAAGATCCTGGAATTTGATAGAAAGTGGACAAATAGGGAAGATTTGTTGCTGAGCGAAGCAAGTCAGACTATGAAAGAGAGACATTGTATGACTATACTTAACATATACCAACTGTCCACACTCTATGGCAGAGACCGAAAGACTGAAGGACATACAAGCATTAAAAATTGTTATGGAGGGAACCAGCAGTTAGCGTAATGGCTATGTCGCTGGACTCCCACGTAGTCGACCGCGGTTCACGTCCCGGACCCGGTGGCTTAAAACTCACGCCGGGCGCGTGTGCGTGCGTGCCCGAGATCCCGAAAGGAGAATGGAGGAGAAGGGATTGCGGCGTGACCATCCCCCCTGGGGGGTGATTTCTCGCTTTCTGTCTCTATGTCTTAGACAGGTGGGATTACATCAGATTAGGGAGTTTCTGCACAGCAAAGGACACAGTAATTAGTGTGAACTGACAACTCTCAGAATGGTAAGAGAATTTTTGTTAACTGTGCCTTATACAAGGGACTGATAACCAGAATACACAGGAAACTCAAGCAGCTTACCCAGAAGAAAATGATTAACCCAATTAAAAGGTGGGAAAATGAGCTGAATAAACAACTCTCTAAAGAATACATATAAACAGCCAAAAAGCAAAAGTGGAAGAAGAGTGTGGGAGGAGAAGAGCATAGAAAAGGAAATTTGGAGGAAAAATAGAGAGGTAAGACATTTGTGGGACACAGATATGGTTTATTATTTGTTGATGAGAACATGTATAGTATTCTCAACTGGGGCTGGACTGAGGTGTTTAACATGCTGGATAAAGTGTCTTTACAATCTAAATGATCTATAGTGATTAAATGTATAAATAATTAAAATGAGTAAATAAAATAAATAAAAAATAAGGGAACAAACGAGACATTCCTAGCTCCAATCCCTTCAACCCAAACCTGTTCCTGTGCCTTTACCCACCAACTCCTGCCTTCTTTCCAGTTATTCTGTGCTCTTGCAAGGACCAACTGCCATTTACACAGCTGACTCTAATCCCTCTGTCTGCTCAAGTACACTATGACTATTTCTGTCTGTCCTTTATCTCGACTGTCCCCTTTCTATTTGATTTTGCTCTCAAAATCAAATTTGTGTATACACAGTCCCCTGTTTCGGCAACTTAACAATCTACTAACCCTCTCCTTCTCTGGCTACCACCTCATTTCTCTATTCCCTCTGTGAGTAAACCTCTTTCTAATTGCTCTCTGCATGTTCTTTCAGGAACACATTCCTATAGGAATTTGGCTCCAGCTGCTCCACCAAAATCACATACCAGTGACCTTCGTGCTGCCAAACCCAGGCTGAGTTCTCAGAATATTTACAGCTGACTCGTCTCTTTCCAACGAAATGAAAAAAAAATTTTTTTAAGATAGTGCCATTCTGATCCTCCTGCCTCAGTTTTCCCCAAGGTGCTGGGATAACAAGAGTACAGCACCATATCCAGCCTTTAGTTGTACCTGAAATTGATCCCAGGCCTCCCATGTGGTTCCAGCCCATGGAGCACAGCATCTTAGCAGAAAGCACCACCATGGCTAACCCTACAATGCCTTTGTAAAACTTGTTTAGGGACCCATACTTGCTTACTCCATGCATACACACACTTTCATCCTCCGGGCTGGTTGTCATTTACAGTCTACTTCATGGGCTCCTCCTCACCACCCCAACCCTTGACCCTTGGGGACTCAGTGGCTCGGAACTTGTTCTTTTCTTCCACTCCACCTACATTTAGTCCACTGCAACCTTGTCCACACTCAGGTATTTATCTCCTATCCAGCCTTCTTATGATAACTCTAGACTTGCACATTCAAATGCCAGCCTCACTTCCATCAAGTGCCTATCAGGGGTCTCAAATGAATACAGTAGCACCACCCCCCTTTATCCAGGGGGACTTGCTCCAAGACCGCCAGTAAATGCCTGAAACCATAGATGGTACCAAACCCTACGTATACTACACATTTTACGTATTTTTCAATCTGATAACTGAGAGAGCTATGAGTGTGGTTAATGGGCAGGAAATATATATAGTGAGGATACTCTGGACAAAGAGATGATTCAGGACCTGGACTAATGGGAGTGAAATAGGATGCAAATTCATCATACTACTCAGTGTGTAATTTAAAACTTATGAAGTGTTTATTTCTGGAATTTTTCCAATCAGCATTTTTGGGCTACAGTGACTACAGATAACTGAAACTATGGAATGTGAAACCATAGATAAAAGGGGTGGACTAGGGCCAACAGATGGCCTGGTGGTTGGCCCTAGTGTTGGACTCCCATATGGCTGACTGCTGTCCAGACCCAGCGGCTCAAAAATCCTGCCAGGCACATGTGCATGCATACCCAAAATCCCAAGAGAAGAATGAAGAAGAGAGGACTGTGGTGTGGCCGTCTCCTCTTAGGGGTGCTTTCTCACTTTCCTTCTCTGTCTCTCTCCAGTGAACACATGTGCCCCTTAGCAAAAACAGAAAGAAGGAAGGAAGAAAGGGAGGGAAGGAGGATGGAGACTATACATCTATCCCAGGCTCTGACCTCCCAGTGCTCATGGCTCCCAGTCTCCCCATATCATCCATAGCAGCTCTGTCATTATCCTGAAATTATTCTCAGTGCCTCTCTCTCATATCCCATATCATTGACTTTAGAAATTGATTTAATAATGGATAACTGCTAAATTACCTTATAAGTAATATAAAAAACTGAAACTAAAGCCTAAAAATCAAGTAAAACATTTTATTGACCAGAATGAAGGAGAAAATATAATAAAATAGGAAAGAACATTGCTTTGGAGTCAGACTTGTACTAATCTTAGTCTAAGAACTTTTGATCTATATGTTGGGTAACCTTGATAACTTCTCTGAACTGTGGTTTCCTCACTTGTAAAGTAAACACACAAGATATAGGTAAACAATATATAGGTATTAACCTGATTTGGTCATCATAAGAAGAAATGAAAAGTCATTTGCCCCATAACCAGCACTGAGTACTAAAAAACTACTAAAGAAGGAATCTATTAGGATTAAAGGAAATGCAGATCATAACAACCTTCCTTTGACAAGGAAATTAATCTGTTTCCAAATGTGTTATGCTTACTGCACAACGAGGAGCCCAGACTGTGATAACAAACCTGCTGTTTGGCTAACATCGGGAGGATGATGTCAGCTATCTGTCGCGACAGCCGTTTCCACTTGTCCTCATTCTCCTTGTGGCACTGCTGCAGAACAAGGATAAACATCTCCAACACCTGCAAGAGCATTTATGCACAATTAGCAAATCTCCTGAAAATACAATTTTTTTTCATCTCCACATGAGATGTTTTCAATCTATCACTCACACTGGTACCAGCATGGGCAAAAGACTCAAGAATCCAAAGAAATGTGATTCCCCAGTGAGGAACAAAGAGACTGATTCAGTTCTTACCCTGTGACAAGTGAAATATAGGGGAACCAGAAAAAAACAAGGAGAGATGGAGCAAACTCCTCTAGGGTAGCATGAATAACTTACAGGATAACTTTCAGTCATTATTATTTCTATAGAATTTACAAGACTTCACAATCAGAGAAAAGGCACAAATCAAAATCAAACTTGCATTAACCTATAGCAAAACTCAAGTACAGCCTTGAATATTCAGCAGATGCTTTATTAATCTGTTTTAATTCTGTATTCTTTGCGAAGGTAATCTAATGAATAACACCTAACTTTTAAGCATTACACATCATTAAAAACAAGTTTACTAGTCATCTTTTTTTTTTTTTTTTTTTGAAGTTTCGCTATAGGGCATGTGTACTTGCCAAAGAGGGACAGAGAGAAAGAGAGGAAATCACCCCCAAGACAGATGGCAATGCTGCATTTTCCTCTTGGGATTTTTGAGAAAGCATGCACATACACTTGGCATGATTTTTAAGCCACTGGGTCTGGAGCTCATGGCCATTTGAGATTCAGCCTCCTTAACCGTCACACCACCTGCTGTACTTATTAGTAATTATTTCTAAACAGATATTTATAACCAGGTAAAGGTCTATAGCAGCAGGTAACCCACTGCCTATTTTTGTAAATAAAGCTCTACTGGAACATTGACACAACAGCCACATCATTCACATACATATTGACTATGATGGTTTCATGTTTTTTGGAATAAGTCACTGCAACAGAGATCACAAGCCCTAAAAAGTCCAAAATACTTATTACCTAGCACTTACTGAAAATTTGCCAACCCTTGGTCTATAAAATATAATTGTTATAAAAGAATTTAATACTCAACTTAAGGCCAGTCTCTATGTCTGTCAACCACCCTGTCTCCACAGCTGCCTTCTCTCTCCCACAAACTTTACAGCACTTATATTACACAATCCTAATTCTGCCTTTTACTTAATAAACCTGCCAGGTCAGGCAATCTTCTCCATCCTCGGTTATGCATGCTAACTGGTTGAGTGTGGATGATAAGCTCCTCTCTAGGACACCCACCAACCCAAGTGTGCTTGCCAACAGTCAGCTGCTTGTTCTAAAACATCTTTATAGTACTTGTACATTTTATTAGAATTATGCAATTTAATTAAAATGAAGTATTTCATTAAATATTATATAAATAAAAATATGAATAAGCAAATAAAGTAGTTTCTATGAGAAAAACTTCATAAACATTCAAGGACAAAGAGCTGAAAACAATTAACAAAACAAGGGCTAGGCACCCAAACAAGCTAAGAAAACAGAAGTTATTAAAAATACTAGGTTTTTGGGACCAGCAGATGGCGTATTGGTTATGTCACTGAATTCCCACATGGCCAACCACAGTTTGAATCCCACATCCAGAGGCTTGAAATTTACCCCAGGCATGGGTACATGCATGCCCAAAATCCTGAGAGAAGAATGAAAGAGAAGAGGTTATGATGTGGCCATACTCACTAGGAGGTGATTTCTCACTTTCTGTCTCTCCAGTGAGTGCATGCACCCTATAGCAAAAATCTCTCTAAAAAAACAAACAAACAAACAAAACAAACAAACAAACAAAAAACTAGACTTTCTATATGTTGCTTACAGGAAATACGCTGAATTTACAAAGGTATATACAGAATAAAAATGAAGGGCTGGAAAAACTCACTTCATGCAAAAAGAAATGAAAAAGAGCAGGAGTTGTGGTATCAATATCAGATAAAATAGAATTTAGGATAAAAAGCACAAGAAGAGACAAAGAAGACATTACAAAGTTCTAAAAGGATGAATTTATCAAAAAGATATAACAATCATAAATACTGATGTGCCGATTGCCAGGGCACCCAAATATATAACAGACTGCTAGATCTAAAGGAAGATATAGACTCTAATATATGAATTGTCAGAGACTTCGACATCCACTGTCATCACTGAACAGATCCCCTAGACAAAAAATAAACAGAGACACAGGAATTAATTGATATCATAAACCAAATGAACCTGACATAAATATATATTCTATCCAGCAACTACAGAATATCCTTTTTCTCATTTCCACATGGCATATTTTCAAAGATTGACCACATAATAGGCCATAAAACAACTCTATATAAATTTACAAGTATGGAAACTATACCCAGCTATCTTCACTGGCCACAATGGATTAAACTTGAAATCAATCACAAAAGAGTCCTTGAAGACACACAAAAACATGGAAACTAAAACTGTACTCCTAAATGACTTTCAATATTGAGGAAATTATAACTGAAACCGAAAGATTTATCAAAACAAATGACAAAGAACACACTAGTCTCCATTACCTTTGGGACACATTGAAAGCAGTCACAAGAGGCAAGTTTATAGCCATTAGTGGTCATAAGAAAAAAATAGAAAAGTGGCAACTAAATAACTTAATATCACATCTCAAGGAACTGGGAAAAAACCAAAAACAAAATAAAAAAAGAAAATAAATAGTGAAGATTAGACATGAAATAGAGAATAAAAGAAGTATACAAAAAACTAACAAAACAAAAGCTGATTTTTTGAGAGAATAAACAAAATTAATAAACCATTAGGTAGACTGATCAAGAAAAACACAGAAAGGAACCAGATAGATAGAATCAGTAATGATGATGGCAATATTATAACTGATATATACAAAAGACAAAAAATTATGAGAGAATACTATGAGCAACTATACACCAACAAACTAGAAAATCTAGGTGAGATGTACGAAATTCTGAACAAGTACAAGTTACCTAGGTTGAATCAAGATGAAATAAAAAGCCTAAATAGAACAATAAAAAGTAAAGAAATTGAAACAGTGTTAGTCTGTTCAAAAAACAACAAAAAGCCCAGGTCCCAGTGGCGTTACTTCTCAATTCTACAAAACTTTTAAAGAAGAGCTAACTCCAATTCTTCTCAAACTATTCCTAAAGATTCAAAATGAAGGAATCCTCCCACATGCATTTTATGAAGCCTCTATTATCTTGACACCAAAACCAGACAAGGATATTTAAAAAAAAAACAAAAACAAAAACAAAAAACAGCCTACAGACCAATATCCCTGATGAATACTGACACAAAAAAACTTTCAACAAGATACTAGCAAACTGAATCCAACAACATATCATAATGATTATACACCATGAACAGGTAGGCTTCATCCCAGGGATGCAAGGATTTTTCAACATACATTAATACAATAAATGTAACACATCATATTAACAGAAAGAAAGATAAAAATCTTATGATCGTATATATATATAGATAGATAGATAGATGTGAAAAAGCATTTGATAAAATACAACATCCCTTTATGATCAAGACTCTCTGCAAAATTGAGGTAGAAGGGACATTACTCGACATAATAAAAACAATATATGACAGTTCTACTAAGAACATCATAATGAATGGGGAACAATTAAAGCCTTCCCATTAAAGGCTGGAAAAAGACAAAGCTACCCACTCTGTCCACTCTTTTAAACATGGAAGCTCTAGCCAATTCAATTGAACAAGAGAGCAAAATAAAAGGTATTCAGATAGGAAAAGAAGTTAAATTGTCCCTATTTGCAGATGATATGATAATATACATAAAAAATAAAAATGAAATCCATGAAAAAACTCCTGCAAGTGATAAATTAATTCAGTAAGGTTGAAGGATACAAAGTCAATATACAAAATCTATAGCATCAACAATAAAGAGACTGAGACAGAACTGAAGAAAGCAATCCCATTTATAATAGCTACAAAACCAAATACCTAGGAATAAATCTAGTCAAAGAGGTGAAAAACCTCTACAAGGAAAACTATGAAAAAACTGAAAAAAGAAACTGAGTATGACACAAGAAATGGGAGAACACCCCATGCTCTTGGATTGGAAGAATTAATATAATCAAAATGTCAGTCCTACCCAATTTAATTTACATATTTGATGCAACTTTAATTCAATTACCTGAGTCATTCTTCACAGAAATAGAAAAAAAAAATTAGAAAATATGTATGGCATCATAAAAGACCTCAGATTGTCAAGGCAATCCTGTACCAAAAAAATAAAATAGGCATCTCACTACTCAACTTTAAAGTATATTACAAAGCAGTGACAATCAAAACAGCATAGAACTGGCACAAAAATAGATATGCAGAACAATGGAACAGAACAGAGAATCCAGAAATAAACTCCAAATCACATAGTCAACTGATCTTTGATAAATGGCCTAAGACAATGCAATGGAGAAAAGAAAGTCATTTTAGCAAATGATGTTGGACGAACTGGCTTCCATCTCCAGAAAAATGAAACTACCCTTACTTCTCACCATTAACTAGAACTAAAGATGTAAATCTAAAGCCTCTAATTACAAACTACTACTAGAATAAATAGGAGAAACTTTTAAGATATTGGACTAGGCAAAGATTTCTTTCTCTTTTTTTAAGAGAGATTTTTGCTACAGAACATGTGTGCTTGTCAGAGAGACAGAGAGACAGAAAGGGAAAAATCACCCTCTGGGGAAATGTTCATGCCACAATCCCTTTGTTTCCATTCTCTTTTTGGGGATCTTGGGCATGCACACACACACACACCTGGCCTGAGTTTCAAGCCACGAGGTCCTAGACTCAAACCACAGTTGACTATGTTGGAATCCAGCAATGTATCCATTATGCCATCTGCTGGTTCCCCAAAGATTTCTTAAATAAGGCACCTAAAACATAGGTGCCTTATTTAAGAAATGGTCCCTAAAATAGATAGATAAGTCAGATTACAACAAGCTAAAAACTTTCCTCACAGCAAAGGACATTATAACTAGAGTGAAAAGAAACCCTTGGAATTGGAGAAAATAGCTGCGAATTATTACTCAGAAAAGGAATTGATATCTAGAATACATAGGGAACTGAAGAAGCTGCCCCATAAAACAATGAATAATCCAATTAAAAAATAGGCAAATGAATTGAATAGACAGAATAAGTCTTTCTCACAGAAAGACTTACAAATAGTAAGAGGCATATGAAAGAATGTTCAGGGACCACCCCAGGTGGTGTGGTAGTTGAGGCACTGGACTCCCACATGGTCAACCAAATTTCGAGTCCTGGATCCAGTAGCTTGAAACTCAGGCTGAGCGCATGTGTGTGCATGCTCAGGATCCTGAGAGGAGAATGGAGAAGGGATAGCAGCATGGCCATCACCCCGAGGGGGGGGGGGGAGGGAGGCATCATTCCTCGCTTTCAATCTGTCTGTCTTTAGTGAGCGCAAGTGCCCTACAGCAAAAATCTCTCCAAAAAAAAAAAAAAAAAACCTTCAATGTCTCTTGTCATAAGGGAAATTCAAATTAAAACTACAATGAGATAGCATTTAACCCCAGTTAGAATGGCTAGGATGAAAAAAATTAAGAACAAGTGTAGGCAAGTGTTCAGTAGTGAAAGATAACTCTCACACTGTTGGTGGGAATGTAAATTAGTCCATCTTCTGTGGAAAACAATACGGAGGTTTCTCAAAAACCTATAAACATATCTTCCATATGATCCAGTAATCCCACTTATTGGTATTTACCCAAAGGATAGGAAAACAATCAGAAATATATCTGTATAAGCATACTTACGGTAGCATTATTTACAATTGCTAAAACATGGAACCAACCCAAGCGTCCAAAGCTGATAACTGGGTTGAAAAACTGTGACACATATAGACTATGGAATATTACTCAGCTATAAGAAACAATGAGATCCTGCTGTCTGATTCAAAATTGATGAATATAGAAGACTTAATGTCAAGTGAAGCAAGTCAGACTTTGAGAGATACACGGTTTATACTCAATTTATACTGAGTACTACAGTAGGAGTTGAGAGACTTGACAATGTGATAATAGGAGAATGGATGTACATGCTAGAGACTGTAAGGGAGGAGAGTGGGTGGTAGAGAGTGGGTGGTAGAGGGCAGTTGTGAAGTACAAGGGGAGGAAACATTTGACAGATGGAAAAAATATAAAATATGTTCATTATGAAATTAAATTCTGTTATGTAGCAAGTTATTTCACTAATCGGTTTAATTATATATGCTCATTAGGATTGAAGCATGCATGATGACATTTCTATTCATCTCAATTATAAAACAAAACTAGACCCTGGCACTCACACTACCTCATTATGTCTTAAATTCCTATTCCACCTTCAGGAAACAACCAGAAATCAGTTTTAAGAAAAAAACCTTGACTTAAATCAAAATAGTGATAAAAATATATAAAGTCTTGGGGCCAGCAGTTGGCATAATGCTATGTTGCTGGACTCCCATTTAGTCGACCGTGGTTCAAGTCTCGGATCCGGAGGCTTAAACTCACGCTGGGCGCATGTGCATGCATGCCCAAGATCCCAACAGGAGAAGGGATTGCAACATGGCCATCCCCCTTAGGGGATGATTTCTCACTTTCAGTTCTGTCTTTTGTGAGGGGGGCCCCCCCCCGTAGCAAAAAAAAAAAAAAAAAAACAACTCTCCAAAAATAAAAATAAATAAATAAAAATAATAAACTTTAAATTATTTCAGATTTGAGATTCCTATCAGTTTTAAGAATGGCACTATTTTGACCAAAACTGTCAATTAATTGATTTTTTTTTAAAGAAGTTTTTGCTATAGGGCACATGCGCTCGCCAGAGAGACAAAGATAGAAAGCAAGAAATCACCCCCCAGAGGGGATGGCCACGTTGCAATCCCTTCTCCTCCATTCTCCTCTCAGAATCTTGGGCACACATGCACATGTGCCCGGCGTGAGTTTAAGCTACCGGGTCTAGGACGCGAACCGCAGTCCACTACATGGGAGTCTAGTGACATAGCCATTATGTTAACTGCTGGTCCCTCAATTAATTGATTTTTGATTTCTGGTCCTTATTTTAGAAAAGAAGGCCTCTGCCATATTTACTCTTTTGAATGATCTCTTAACAAGATGCATACCTGCTAAACCTCATACCACACCGGCATTTCCCCTAGTCCTGGAGAGTCCAAAGTCAAAACATAAGTAACACTCATTTTTTTAACAAACAGTTGAACCACATGGAATGTCCTTGCATTGCCACAAATCACGGTGGTCACTGTACTCTCTGCTTACCTGATGGTACTGGATGAGTCTCAGTAACATTGACACCACTACTTCTTTTTGGGTTTCAAGCTCTTTTCCTGCATCAGCCTTATTTGTTCCCCTTAATACAAAGAGGTCATGGACTATGGGCTGTAGGGCCGGTATGGCTGTGGGTACAAAAGGGTATCCTAATAAGGTATTACATGAAAATTACTTTTGAAAGACAGTTCTTACTTAACACCTCCAAAATATTTTCAAGAGACAAAAGAAAACCCTAACCTGTACCTGGTTTATGAAAACGAAGGATTAGGTTATCAATGAATGTTGTGAAAGTATTATTATACCACTGTGGAAAGCCAAAGCTCTTCCTCTGAACACTGACTGGCGTTTTCTGAAAGCTTCTAAAAAAACAAAACTAAGTTTTCCACAATATAACATCACTCTAACGAAAGGTAACTCATTCAAAAGTAATTTGAAAACAATTAAAAGTTCCCAAATCACCAAAATAGCAACATTCTTGGTCTCATACATAATACACTTGCTTTACTTGAAAAGGCAATAACTACTAGAGAATACACCGAGTCACAGTAATAAATATTATATAATTTAAAATAATTCACTCTCTCATTAAATAAAGAGTTTTTCCCAAAATCCTGTCTTGGTCCAAACCAACAGGCAAAATAAATTAATTGGTCTAACACAACCACATGGAAGAATCATGAAAAAAATGCCCTTCATTGGTATATAGCACACTACCTTTGCACACACATACACACTCTGACTCTCAGTGACATGCCCAGGCAGACTCTCTGAGCCTCAGTCTCACACACACACACATAAACACACACACACACACACACACACACACACACATACTTGATGACCCTCCCACAGAAGACTAAACTTCCCAGTAAAAAAGTTTTGGGTTAGTCTGTTGACTGACTCTGTCCAAAGACCTACGAAGTCCAAGAAACTTTGGTCCCCTTTTTGCATTTCCAAATAAATTGAACAATGAAAATATCTATGGATTTAATAATCTGTAATTTTGCTGAGACATGAATGGCAAAGACTAACTGAAAATCAAGCTCTCAATATATCTTGGCCTATGCCCTCCTGCAGATGCTTTCAGTGGAGCACACACTATGTAACAATGCCATTCTCACAAAGTTCAAAAGCCTACAAATTCCTGGAAAAAGGAATCAGAGGCCAATAGGAACATACTGGCAGATCGGTTTAAAAAGTTCATAGTCACATTTATAACTCATACTTTTTTAAAAAATATAATTATTTTATTATTATTATTATTATTTTATTTGAGAGAGATTTTCTTGCTATAGGGGACATGTGCTCAACAGAGACAGAAAGCAAGAAATCATCCCCTGGTGGGATGACCATGCCACAATTCTTTATCCTCCATTCACTTCTCAGGATTTTGGGCACACACACACATATATATATATACACACCTGGCATGAGTTTAAAGCCACCAAGTCTGGGATTCAAATTGCCATGGGCCACACGGGAGTCAAGCGCCTTAACCACTAAGCCACCCACTGGCCCCTTTACTTATTATTATTAGTAGTAGTAGTTTTAATTTCTACAGGGCACATGTGTTTAGCAGAGAGAAACAGAGAATGTGAGAAAGCAAGCTGCCAGGTCCAGAACTCAAACCATGGTCAGACATGCAGGAGTCCAGCACCTTAACTACCACACCACCTGCCGGCCCCTATGACTCATTCCTAAACCCATACCACCTCATTTCATAGGCTGAAAGAAAGTGCTTGAGCAGCTGGCAATATTTTATGGTCCTTGCTCAACCTCCAGTAAAACAATCACTCAAAATAGAACGCACTGAATCAAAATCAAACTCTATCCTCTAATACCTTTGCATAAGAAATCAAAATTTGGGCCAGCAGGTGGCATGGAGATAAAGGTACTGGATCCCACATGGCTAGCCGTGCAGTTCAAGCCCCAGACCCAGTGGCCTAAAAATCACACTGGGTGCAATGTGTGTGTGTGCCCAAAATCCTGAAGGAGACCGGAGGAAAAGGAATTGCCATCTCCCGTGGTGGTGATTTTTCGCTTTCCCTCTCTCTCTCTTCTGTCTCTTTCTGGCGAGAACCCACACCCTATAGCAAACCCTAAGGAGAAAAAAAGTAAAGTCTGATTCATGGCAAGCAGGATTTAAAATTCTTTTGTGCTTCATAACGATAAATGGGAGCTTTTATATGCAAAATCTATCTGTACATTAGCCCATCCTACTGTGTCTTATATTTTTTCCCCTAAGTAATTATAAACTCCTAAGAGTAAAAAATGTATTCTCTACTTTTATAAAACATATCTAACTGGTGTGTGCACAACTATGCAACCATGCATACAAACATACATAGAGCCCGCAAAGCACATAGCCACTGTTATCATGGTTTAAAGGGGGTGTAAGAAAACTAACACTGTCGAGCACATCATGAGAGTGAAGACCACAGGGAAAGGTGTGTCCGTTACCATGTGTCACAGCCTTCCTCCCACTGGCCATGATGCCATCACAGAGCTGAATGATCTTAGGAATTCCAATGATCTGTTTTGAATGATAGCGTTCATAAGACAGTAATACCAGGAAGAAAAAGATGTTCGGAATAATTGCCTCAGATTCCCTGGGAACAAAAATATCCATTTAGAGATTTCTTTTTAAAATTTCAGACACATAATCAATATATATTAACAACATAAAGTAACTCATGATTTGACCTTGAGAGAGAGCATGTGCACTAAGCTTTCTGATCTTATTTTAATCCCATCCACATCACTGTCGTTCCCATCTGCGCCCATGCAGAGTGCTTGCACAGGTGGAAAGGCTAAATGGGAACAGGCACAAGACACCTTACAGCACTAGGTCCCCAGTAGGTACAGTCTTCTCAGTTCTCCTGCCCCACTGTGACTCACAGGAGAAAAAGTAACTTGCCCAAAATCACTGTAGAGGTGTTACATAATTGGAACAAGAAGCTGGATCTCGAGACTGCAGGGACTCTCACAATACTTTCCTTCTCACTGTTTCCTTAACTATTTATTAAGTAATTCAGAAACTAATAAATTTTAATATTTAATGTTTATAAGGACCCTTTAGGTGGTGTGTTGGGTAAGGTGGCTGGATTCCACGTGGTCAACTGTGCAGTTTGAGTCCCAAACCCGGCAGCTTGACACTCACACCAGGTGCATGTGCATGTGTGCCCCAAATCCCAAGAGAATGAAGGAGAAGGGACTACAGGATGGCCACCCCCGGGAGGGGTGGGGGGGGCTGATTTCTCACTTTCTCTGTCATTGTCTTTATCTCTGCGACAACCAAGTGCACCCTATAGCAAAAACGTTAAAATAAGAAAAAGAAAACAGCAAAAATGCCTAATAGTCCTTTAAAGTAAATGTTCACCTTAATATCCAAAAAATTACACATAAGTAGATAACAAGAAAAACAAATCTAAAATAACAAAATGCTCTTACCTGAACTGGCCCACTTCGATGTATTCAAACTGTTTCAGCACAAATCCAATGAATACCTTCAGGTAAAAAAAATTTTCATATAAATAACAGGATTAAAAAGTGAAAAACAGATTTTATTTCTTCCAGCTTATCTACATAAATTTTTAACAATTTATCTGTATAAATTTTTCCTGGCAGCAGATAAATTTGTTTATATACCAGAACTCATATCTATTCTGAAGTCAGACTAGATAATTACAGAACACTCTTGAAATACCGTGGAAAACAGATTTACTAAACACTGAGGTAAAAATCTCATTGGAAAAACAAATGATAAATTCCAGGTGACATAAGTATTACCCAGAAGTCTGTCTGAAGAACTGGTCTATTCTAGCTAATGGCAAACTGAGCAGCACAGACTCCCTGACACTGGTCTAGTGATAAGATATCCACAATAGTCCATCTCTCCCTTAAAGGAGCCCAGTGCTGAGGCAGCTGCTGAGAGGTGAAGGATGGCTCTTAGGAGGAGAGGTACTACGTCAGGACCAGATAAGAGCCAGCTGTGTGTCACACTAAACTGTATGCTCTCTTCTGCTCACCCAGCCTGAGGGAAGCTTGCCCAGATAAAGTTTAGAATTTCTTTTTATTTTTGGGGGGTGAGGGGAGAGGTTTTTTTGCTATAGGGCACATGCCAGAAAGACAAGAGAGACACAGAGAGACAGAAAGCAAGAAATCATCCCCCAAGGGTGATGGCTATGCCGCAATCCCATCTCCTCCATTCTCCTCTCAGGATCTTGGGCATGCACACACACGTGCCCAGTGTAAGTTTAAGCCACCAGGTCTGGAACTTGAACCACGGTCAACCACATGGGAGTTCCAGCGACATAGCCGTTACGCCATCTGCTGGTCCCAAGCTTAGAAGGCTGGTCCCAAGCTTAGAATTTCTATTCCCACTGTTTTCTCAGAGCCTGCTATGGTCTGGATGATTTGTTCCCAAAAGGTTCATGTCTTAGAATTTGGTCATTATTTTAATGGCATCAGAAGGGGATGAGACTTTTAAGAGGTATGGCCTAGTAAGAGTGTTTGGATCATGGGATACAGCCTTCCTGATTATATTACCATGGTCTCGTGAGATGGAGCAGATTCTCTCTCATAGGAAGGGGCTAGCAGGTTGTTATTTAAGATGACCACCCACAGGCTACACTCTACCGGCAGGTGCCTTGCTGACCTTTTCACTTCTCTCCACTATGTTGTGATTGCAGTCTCATGCCTTGGACTCTCTAGCCATCAGAATCATGAGCCAAACACACCTCTATTAATTATAAATCATCAGGTATTTCTGTTGAGCAACACAATAAGGTACTAATGTAGACATACAGCAGGTGCTCCGTAAATTGCCATCTAAATTGAGTTTAATGATTTGTCTATTCTAATTTTCTACTTTTGTTTATTCAAACTATCTACTGAATCCCAAGAACTGGGGTGGGGAAAAGGGAACCAACTGATGAAAACAACCAGAAAAAATGTGAGGTTCACAGCTAGACAGGTGTAACACCACCAAGTAAGGGACAGCTGGAAATTGGTTCTGCTGACATGAACAGAGGGTGCAGAGACCCAGAGTGAAGCACACACTAACAAAGAGATCGATATACATGTCGAGACAAGCATGGGATAAACTTGAGGTTGTCCTCTCTCAACATTTCAGTAAGAAAGCAACAAAAATTATTCCATTTTTAAGAAAAGGCTCTATGTAGAATGATTAAACAATCTGGTAAAACATCAAATCTACCTGAAAAGTCTATGTGAAGAGAGCCCTAAAAGTCTACTAAAGACAGCCCTAAAAGAGACCTCAGTCTAAAAATACCATGTAAGAAAGTTCATTTTATACTTGTAATGAGAGTCACAACCAGGAAATTTTGAAGAAAAGGTTTTGACCCAATCAGTGCTCTGGCTTCCTTTTAGATGGCCACTGGCTATGGCCCTGTGCCTGCCCCATCCTGTGCAGAGCCTCTCCCCATGCAGCCTCTTTATATCAAAACAAAGGGTATGACATTTCCCAGTGACATATTCCCAGTGACATATTCCCCGAAGACAGAAATTCTTTAGACTGATTTTCTTCTGATAGCTTTCATGAAAGGAAGAGTAAAACTGTTGGGCAAAGGCAAAGAGAACCCCAACCCTTCGACATTTCTTTCATTAAAAGCTGACCAATCCATCCCCGCATCTTGTGGGGAAATCAGCATCTTGAATGTGTTTTTTCATGTCTCTCAAGGAAATGGACCCTTTAAGGTAAATGAAGATAATGAAGATCTACAGACAGATTTACTTCTAGGAGAAAATGGAGAACTGTAATATTTTGATCTCAAAAAATATCCTACCTCACGTAGAAAAGTGGTCTAAAGCCACAGCCAAACAATGACCTAAATGCAATTTCATCTGTAGTGAATTAACTGACATGGATCTCACTTGAAGTAAATTTGCATCATGAAGAAATATGGCTAGCCAGGATCTCATAACTTCAACAACTCCATGAGGAAGGCAATCTAGCCAGAGAAGAGTTGAGTATATATACTTATTTAAGGTAACAAAGTTTCCCACGTGAGCATCCAGGAGCACAGGTCTCAGCTTCTACCATAGCAGGTTACATTCCTACCAGGCAAGTTTACTTATTACACTGCCTTAAACTATAGACCATAATTGATAATCTATTTAAGATGATCTCTGGATTTTATAGAAATGCCTCCCCACATAGCATATCCTAATTATATCTTGCCACTTAAAGTGAAACTTATGTTGGAGTCGGGGGAGAAAAGGGGTAGATAAGTGGATAGGAAAAACCTCTGGCAAATTTCTAAAGGCTAACCCTAATGGAGAATGACACAGACTGGGGAGTCAGGACAAGATGGTGCCAACACCGCTTAGACTGCCTATGTTCCGGGAATTTTACATTAGCCAGTTGCATTAAATAGTTAAGAAGCACAATTGTGGGAGAAAACAACAAATTTCACATTTCTTTAAGGTAAAGTCCAGTGTATTTGGGGCATAATTTCCATTAAATCAGAAGCTAGTATGGGTGATTAAAAAAAAGTGACAAACCTGATCTGAATCCAGAAGACAGTAATTAACCCGTAATTGAACCAGCTGTGCCAGCAAATCTAAAACTTGCTTCTGTAATTGTACAGATGTTGTTGTTGTATACTGTTTTAAAGCTTTTATAACAAGAGGTTCAAATAAACGAATGTGATTATGAATAGCATTCTGTTAGGAAAAAAAAAAGTAAGTCTTCAATTAGAAACTTCAAGCAATCAGTTTAGAAAGTCTCAAGCTCTATTTTCATTTCGAGCACTGTATAACCCATGTTCACAGGCTGTCTCATCCCATGTTCCTGGATTGGAAGAATTAATATAATCAAAATGGCAATTCTACCAAATTAATCTACATATTTGATTTAGTACCAATCAAATTACCAGAGACAGTCTTCAACAGATCTTGAAAATCTAGACAATCATAGAATTTGTATGGAATCATAGAAGATCCCGTATCCCCAAAGCAATCTTGTGTAAGAAGAGTGGAGTTTGGGGCTTCTGACTCCCTGACCCCAAAATATATTATAAAGCTGTGATAATCAAAACAACATGGTATTGGCACAAAAACAGACAGGTGGACCGATAAAATAGAATAGAGACCCCAGAAATAAACCCCAAAACATACAGCCAACTTATTTTTGATAAAGGATACCAGTCAATCTTGTGGGAAAACGAAAACCTCTTTAGTAAATGGTGCTGGAAAAACTAGGTATCCACCTGCAAAAAGATGAAGCTGGACACCCATCTTTCACTATTAACAAAAATCAACTCAAAATGTATCAAAGATCTAAACTTAAGACCTCAATCTATAAAAATACTGGTATAAAATACTGGGGAAGCTCTGGGAGACAATAGGCAAGCAAAGACTTCTTAAATAAGACCCCCAAATGACAATAATCAAAGAAATAGACAAGTGGGATTTTATCAGATTAAGAAGTTTCTGCACAGCAAAAGACACAGTAATTAGTGTGAATCAACAACCCTCAGAATGGGAGAATATTTTTATAAATCATGCCTTAGATAAGGAACTGATAATCAGAATACACAAGGAACTCAAGCAGTTTACTACAAAAAAAAAAAAAATCAACCCAATTAAAAGATGGGAAAATGAGCTGAACAAACGACTCTCTAAGGAAGAGAGAGCCAAAAAGCATATGAAGAAATGTTCACTATCCTTCATCATAAGAGAGATGCTGAGTAAAACCACAATAAGATACTACCCCCATCCTGTCAGGATGGCAAAGATTAAAACTACCATATGATCCAGCAATTCCACTCCTGGGTATCTGCCCAAAGGACAGAAGAATACTCGGTCGAAAAAGTGCTTGCACATCTATATTTATTGCAGCATAGGCTGTCTCAGGCTGTGACAACACTTACCTTATCTGTACGGTTTTTTGTAATGCTTGTGAGGTTTGTCTTCAATTGGGTAGGCACTTTCTGAAGGACATCAAACCATCTGCCAAACGGAAAAAAACGGAAGCAAGGAATATCCTTAATCTCCTCTGTACTCAACTATCCTCCAGTTCAAACTAATTTCACATTCTCAAAATTAGAATATGTCAAAAAGAAAGAACTTGAAAGGTCAATTCGATGTAGCAGAATCATGCTCTTGAGATAAAGAGATTCAATTTAAGGTTTACGGTTGCATGACAGCCATCTGTACAAGGAACCTCGAATCTGGGCATTTTTTTTTTTTACTATAGGGAACTCACTACTCAATTTAGTCTTTGGTGGAACTTGAAAGAAAAATTATAGTCATTTGAATGATATAATAATTTAGACGGTATCATTTAACTTTGCTGCGAGGAGGGACTTTAAAATATTTACTTCAATCATATTTTAAAGAAATATGTAAAGAATTAAAACATATGCATGCATATAAATACACTCATTTATTGATATTCAATATTAAACATGAAGTACTTGAATATACTTATTTCTGAAAACTGGATATAGAGTAAGTATATCACCAACATAAAGCCCAGAACATGGTACTTTCCTTGATTTCTGACTCTAGTATTTTAATTGTAGTTGTTTGATGACTACATTTATACACTTGATATTGGCCAAAATGTCAAGAAGTGATAATCACTTCATTTATAAAAGGAAAAAAAAAATCAGACAAATTCTATTATTACCAAACAGTGTAGCAACTCAAGTAGATGTTAACAATTATGGTAATTTATGAAATACCTATTGTAGTCTAGGTATCGAAAACACAACCATAAATTTAAATAAACTTTACAAAACACAGAATAACACACCTAAGTCATCTATGCCTTTCACATATCTCTGAACACTGGCTCGATTGTGCTGTGTTGAAGCTATTCTTTCCCTTTAGCAATAGACCCAAAAAGTGCTCCCAACACATACTACATTCCAGTAATGTAATCACTATACTGCAGGAAGTATTGGCAGGAAAAGATGACTTCTGAGCACTAGAAAATAACATGTTTTAATACTGTATGTGAATTAGAGCTGTCTGCTCCACAGGTAACCAATCAGTGTTCCTCTTCTTCCACCCTAACCCCCACTGAGAAGGTATAATCCCTAACCCATCTCCCTTCCACATTAAACACTTGTTTGGAGATAGGGGCTATGCCTTAATCATCTGTGCAAAACCACATTTCCTAGAGTTTTCTTAACAAAGTAGACTACTGGAAGTTCTGGCTAACTTTTTCTATTTGTTTTGTTTTGTACAAGGTATTGCTTGCTTGTTCTTTAGTGGTTCCACCAGTGACAGCATTCCT